TGTGTGTGTGTCAACCCCTGTTCCTAAGGGTTTTGGTTTCTTGCATACGGCTAAGTAACCACATGTCCACGTCTTGCAGCTAAGTATTCACAGGCCGGGCATTTACATGCATAGGCACACACACAACCCCCCCTACCCCTGGGCCTCGTTGCTACCCCACCCGCTTTTCGAGCAACAGAAGGAAATCGCACTCAACACACTTGTGTGTTGGTGCCTTTCCTTCTGTTTCTCCTAGCTATTGCTAGCTACCCGGGCGGTTTAAGACAAAATGTCCCTCTCGCGCTCTACTTTCATTTAACTAAGTGGGCCTCGTAACTACACCTATCTTTCCTTCTTGCCCTCTTAGTCTGCTTTTGTTTTGTTTGCTTTTTTTGTCTTTCTAAGGCTTTTTAGGTCGCTAGTAGTCTTCACAAAACGCGCCAATATTGGCGCTATATTATTATATGTACAAAGTTCGGCGACCGGTGGACACCAACGACGCTACTAGGGGCTTCTGGCCTCGCTATCAGGAGCCAGGACCTCTGACCTTTCTACAAGGTGTAAGGACGCTACTAGGGCCCCTGGCTTTGCTACTAAGGCCTCCTGGTATCGCTACTAGCTTACAGTCTCTCAACGCAGAAAAAGAGGCAGGGGCACTGAGCACTCCTTGGCAAACTCAGTGCAACGAAGCTATGCCTTGGAGTGGGAAGCACGGATTGATCACCCGTGTGTACCTGCGAGAACTCTTTCACAAGCTGTGACTCCACTTTTTCCTTGTTTGCTTCCATGGTGGTTTTCATGGTACTTCCCCCAAACCTACTCCTCCCCAGCAGCTGCGCCGCCGATCGTCCACTGATGTACAGCGTTGTTCAGCAGAGCGAGGGAAACTATGTTCAACATTTCAAGTGATCGGACCCAATCACCTTACCGTTCCACCGCCTTCCTTCCCATCGTGGCAATTGAGTCTAACTGAAAACCCAAGTTCGAAGTGTGTCCCTTTTGACATGAAACAAAATTGAGCAGAAAGATTGGAAGGTCGCTGCAAGCTGCTTCTTTCTCACATGGTTTGAAAAGCATTTAGCTACACTTGTGTTGGCCAGAGTTTCAACCTGGCTCACAAAGTTCCGGACATGAAACGAAAAGCAGAATTCGAGCGAATGGCAGAGTGCCGGCATGGGTCAGAATGAAACAAAGCGAGGAATGGATGGTGAGCGGCCCCAGGCAAACTGGAAAGCAATGACACTGTTTGCCTAGCCTTCTTTTGAGGCCGTTTGTTTGCACGTAATGTTGGCCATTGGTCCTGCAAGGACGTTGATGTCATATGTATGGTGGAACTCCTGGTGATTGTACAGTAGCGCCTCCAAAGTATACCACACACAAGGCTGACTGCACCGTCGTGAGTCAAACACTATATCATGAAAAACATAGTGGCACTTGGCACAAATACAAAGCCGTTCAGTCGGCACTTGACATGGTGCCACTTGGATGACACATGGTGGTGCCTATATATATATATATATTCTTTTTTTTTTGCAGAACACATTATATAAGAGTCTAAAGCACACGGGGAGTAGCGAGGAGTGCGTTTGTCTGAGTCTGCTTTTTCGTTGTCTGCTTGAGTTCTGTGCCATTTTATGGACCACTCTTCGACAACTGTCCCGAAGAGTGGGGAATTTGGCAAAAAGAAAAGCATGCGATACACGCCCACACCCCACACTAGCCTTGCATGGAAGAAATGCAAGAATGCAAGTGGCGGTGGTAACCACCTTCAGCTGACATCCACCGGCCGTGACCAGCTGGGGCTACCGCGCTACAGTACCACGACATGCAATCAAAGGTCACAAACGACACTGTCACGGCGAGACAGCGCAAAGAGACGACGAGGTAGTCATTGGTGACCTGTCAGACAGCCCAGATGATGTCGTTCCCGACAATAGTGGCGCGACGTGATCACGCATCTGCAATGGAGGGTATGCTGGCAGGGACGACAAACAGCTTTCTGGAAGCCCTCCAGAAAAGACAGACAGGCAAGGAGCATATGACACATGGAGAAGCCAAAGTCAATTGAATAGATTTGAAACATCAAATTATCATATCAAAGTATAACTATGCATATTTAAAAAATGAATGGATGTAAACAATGCAGCATGTACTTACACTCTTTATTGAAGTGGTCCTCATTCCGTCGGCAGTCTTCCACTGAACATCTATGCCAATCACCTGTCATTGAGACTGCAAGCAAACGACGGATCCATGTTTACCTCTTTGTGCCCAGCACCACCCTCGTCCCTTTGGTCAGCTTAGCAACGTTCCACCAATGCCCTGCCTCGCTGCATCTGGGAGGAATTTTGAGTGTCCACCTCAACAAGGGACTTCTGATTCCAAGCGAGAGTCTTGGACTGTCTGCTCCATATGATGGGCATATTGAACATATTGAAAAAGGAAGACGCCACAAACACCCAAAGGGAAGATGTCAAAAGAAACAGATCAAGCAAACATAACCAAACAGCCAGTTGCTGGAGGGTCTCCCGATTCTAACGCACCATGTTTGCATTTATTATATGTAGGACCAGAGGAGACAACAAACAACATATATGACATAGCTGGCATGTTAGGATTCTTCATGGTCCCATGTGTATGACAGTCAAAGGGCTCACTAACGGGTTGAGTCCACTATGATCATTTCGCATCGAATGGGATCGGCGTTCCCGCAACCCGAAGGACTCCCTGCCTAAAGCGCAGCTCTCACCTCAGCGCATGCTGATGACTTTGCAGAACAATACCGACTGAAAACCATGGGATTCGATTATTTGATTCATCCCTGTACAAACCTGTTACTTTTGCCACTGCTTTCTGGACCAAAAGTTTCACCCGTGTGGTTGGCGTGTTGTCCACACAAATGCAACTTAGCATAGTGAGCGAGAATGTGTTGAGCATGGTATCCTCCGCTCATCTCCTTTGTCTGGGAACTTGTCGCTTTTGGGCAAACATGTCGTGTTTGACCTCTTGGCTCAAAAAAGCAGTTTCTTTTCGCAGACTCAAACAATCATTCAGACCCGCGCTCCAACGATCACTGCAAGAGTGGCCATTTACAAACGCTTGAACCAGGAGGCACGACACACATCCAGGAGGCTCGACGTACCTTACCTTTTGACGCCGACCAAAATCTCGCTGAACCACAGCGGCTGAGCAACCATTTTGATCTTGGACCATTGTGAGGATCCCACCATCATTCAGGTCCTCGACATGCAAACCAAAAATAGACTTTAAAGGGATCTTTGGGAACCTCGCGACGAAAGACCAATTGAATTGTGTCATGTGCTTCATCTCAGTCAACAATCCAGAGACGGGGACGTGCTGCCTCTGTGCTTCATCTGGGAAGCGGTTTGGAAACTAAAAACTGAAAAATGCAATGAAGATTCATTCAAAAATGGCACACTGAAATGCTGTGACTTGTGGATACCCTCTTACTGCTATGGCCTGGAAACTCATTTGAGGCCATTTCTTGCCTGCCATTTCTTGCCATCGTAGCTGTATTGGTTGCTGTCACTTCGAATGCTGCCGCGCATGCGCCCATTGCCCATAACACCTGGGCGCACCCGGACGTCCGCCGCTCAACCAGACATCATCGCGATAGTCAAAACACCATCAAACACTCGGTTGCATGGTTTCTCCCTTTCATTTGAGCGTGTATGGTTTTTCCCTTTATTCATCTTTATTCTCCAGACCTCCTGGCCCAATGGGTGATCTGTTTTCCGAACCTTCCAGGGGGTCGGAACGCCTGGTCTTGGTCCCCTTATTTTAATGCACAACCATTTGGAGATGACCCATGACCATTTGCAAATTCCACTACCAGCGACGTAGGAGATCCAAATCTAGCTCCGTTTGTGCTTGTGGAAGCGTCCAGCTTCCCCATCAGGTTTAGCTTTAGGGCTGCTGATTCCTCGGAAGATCCTTCGTTCTGCTAAGGGAGAGCGGCCTTAGCCCCTGGTGGTGCTTGGGATATCACCTGAGTCCTGTGCATTACTTGCAAATGCTTGACAGGACGCAAAACGCACCTACATGACAAGACATTTCATCCAGTGAAGAGTTTTCACATCAAAATCGTTTGAGTTGGATTGGAAATTCTATGGACCATGGATATCCATGGATCATATAAATCACATTAAATTACATTGCCTTAAATTAGGACACATTAGGTTACATTCCATTTCACTCAAACATGAACTACCTACCTACTTACATATTTTCTGGACACATACCTACCCTAGCCTACCCATTGCATTGCATTGCATTTCAACATATTAGATTGCACTGCAGTACGTTACGTTGCACCACACTACACTAATTATCTAATTTAATTCTTGAAGCTTCATATGTTAGTTAAATACACGCAAACATGCACACTGGTCGAAGGTTCGTATTGCTTTCTACGATTGGCGCCAGCACCGCGTGTGCGCACCTACTTGATGTGTCTTCTCTTGGGCGCAACGGGTGCGCCTGTTTTCACCCCGCAAGCCACAGGCGGAGCCGGTTCTCGAGCTGAAAAAAACCGCCCCCCTCGACTCTTAAGTCCCAGAATCCCAGGTTGCTTGCCTCAAAGCCGTGAGTGAAGAAGAGCCTGGACGACGGGAGCTCTGGCATGTTAGGCAGGGGGCGACATGACCGTTCATGACTTCTGATCTGCTCAGCCAAGCTGCCGCTGCCCCTCCGGATGTCTGGCAAAAAAGGAGTGCGAGATCAGGCATTGGCAGGATTTGCCTCACACACCGCAATTCTGGTACATCTGCCGGAACATCCCTGATCCGGAGTAGCAAAGAACTCACAAGAAAAGTAAGCTGGCTTTGGTGCTGCCATCAACAACCATGAGCGGCTCGGAATCTTGACTGTATTCACAAAGTACAGTCATAGAGTCATAGAGTAGACATGTTTGACACGGCAAAGCTAACAAATCACACCAGTATTTGGGCTCCTTGGAGACAGAATTCAGACTTGGCAACAACATTCAGCACAAGTTGTAGACTCACGGCTAAAAGTAGACTGAAGGCTGAAGGCCAAAAAGAGACTCCTTGCACTTGCTTTGCGCCGGTTTGCGCCCGTGATTCGCAGGTTGACCACTAGATGAGAGGAGCACCAAACAAACTTGATGGTGGTTCATCCTGTTCTCATCTCTCTTCTATCTCCTCAACAGCAAGAGCCGTGAGCTCGGATTCTCATTGTGGACGAGTTACCATTCTCCGTAGAATCCAGAATTCTCAAGATGCCACCTTTCACGTTGCAAAGGACCTGTGGCTAGGGTCTAGCATCCGACCCCGTGCCAACAGTGAAGTGCCAAACTCACACACGTTGAAGCAACGATGTTCAAACATCAAGAAATGGTGCTGTAAGAGGCAAAGTTGACTCGATACTCGAATCACCTCGAAGCGGCCTGTGCTTCGGAGGCATTCGATCCAGCAGCACCTCAGCCCAGCGGTGAAGGAGCTGGAGATCCCCCGTGGGCCCACAAACAGCAGGCAGGAGTGTAGCAGGCAGGAGCCCAAACAGGGGGACCTGAGGTGTGTTAAAGACAAACGAGTGACTGTCGACTGTACCTCTGACAGGCTGAACTGGTCTGACTGACAGGCAAGTGCAGACCATCCCACGATACTCGAAACCTGAAAATCCGTAAAACACAACCCACACAAGTCACTAATATAGCATAATATAGCTATTTAGCTGGCTGCAGTTCTCTTCTGCGTCTCAGCACCCAATCCATGAAAATGCTGGCAAGCAGTCCTGAATACCCTGTGCCAATTTCACCAATGCTCGAAGCTCTCTAGATCAAGTGCAACCAGGGCACATGCTGCTGCACCAAAGGTCCACACATAAGAATCGTCAATCCTTAACTTGAGACACAAATTCAAAGAAAACGGACCTCGCATGACCTTCTGAACGATCCTCACACTATCTTCTTTGAACTCACGATCTGTGCAAAAAAATCAGAACCACTCCTCACAGCTCAATCCTCTGTAGAGGATTCATATCTGAACTTGTGATCCGAGTTGCGAGGTTGGAAAGAATATACCTTGGTTCCGAGTGGTGTCCAATTCCAAAATAAAGGTGTTGTGGTAAGTTGTGATGACAAAAAAAACACAAATATAAACAGCCGATTTTACCAAGCTTCCCAAGCTGCTCAAGTTCAGCCAAAGCTGCTATTTCCCTGTTTGCGGTGAGCCTCCCCGAGATGCAATGTCTCGCATCCAGACATCTTGTAGACGTAATCCTCCTCAACTAGGGCCAATAAACCCTGAAGCACTGGACACATCTATAGACTGAATACTTATGGACTAAGTGCCAAACCTTGTTTCAAGATGTTTCAAGTAACATACTAATTATCCCGGACAGTCAGATAGAATTCAACATAAGGAATTTTGAATTAGGAATGTAGTTAGAATATGAAAAAGTAATTGGGAGCTTCGATGTATTTAGAATTTACAACATTGCACTTAGAATGTACTGTAGAAGACACAAACAGATCAAGAGCCATGCATCTTTAGTTTATCAATGATTCTCTTTGCTGACTGTAAGCAACGGCCTCCAACCTAACAGCAATGGCCTGCGATGGCCTCCAACCTAATAGCAATAGCCTCCAATCTAATAGCAATGACCTGCAACCTACTAGCGATGGCCTCCAACCTAATAGCCATGGCCTCCAACCTAATGGTGCTTTGCTTAGTCAAGTTGGTTGCTGACTTACTGTATGTGATCCGTGCATGGAAGTGATAAAGAAACGGAGGTGATCATATTCTAACTGCATACAAACGACATCACTTTCATAAGGTGCTGATGATGACAATCACATGACAAGAAATGAATTGATCGGAACACAAAAGAAGCAAACGATCGAATGCAGCGATGGTCTCCAACCTAATAGCAATGGCCTCCAACCTACCAGCGATAGGGTCCAACCTAATAGCAATGGCCTCCAAACCTACTAGCAATGGCCTCCCACCTACTAGCAGTGGTCCCAGACCCCAGACCTAATAACCATGGCCTCCAACCTAATAACCTAATAGCAATGGCTTCCAACCTTGCAGCAATGGTCTGCAAACCTTCCAGCAATGGCCTGTAATCACTAGCGATGGCCTCCAACCTAAAGGTGCTAAGGTGTCGCTAGGAAAACCGCCATTTTTGTTGCGCTATGGTCATATGGTCATATGTGGTCTTCATTCAACGGTTGCTCCACCATATTCTAACTGCATCATCGTATGCCAAGTGATATTTTGACCAGGTCCGCCTCAGTGAATTCGATCCTAATTCATGTCTTTCATTGATTTTATATTCTAAGTGACCGTCCAGTACTGTACGTGGTGGGACCTGGGAAAAACAATTATCATGGAAATGTCTCCAAGGGTGTTGCTAAAGAACTCGGACTCTCTCAATCTTACACATATGTGGAAATAGAAACAACATTGCTCCAGCGAGTTTTGCTTAAGGTTTGACTCACAGAACTGCAACCTGTTGGAAGTCTATTTTCGGCTAGGTTGCATTGTACACGTAGTCATACTGTTCCTCAGAACTCAGAGCTGATCAACAAATCTTGGAAATGTCCTTGCTACGCCCTAATGAATGTGGACTCTTGAGGACCATAAACCCCCCCATTTGAAGAGGATGTTCAATCCAAATGAGGGGTATTAATCAAGAGTCTACATTACCACATGCATCATTGCTTTTGTTGTACTTCAGCGTGCTCTGAATGTCGCACTGCCAAGCCGCCGGATTTGTGCAGTAAGAGAAGTCTCCTGGGAGAGGTCTGAGAGGATGCGCCCAAAGGGTTCTCTCCGAGAAAACCATTAGCAACAGTTGTTTTATTTATACATACAAAAAAAAACAACTATAAATAGATCAGGGACGTTGGGTAGTTGCTACTTGCAGATTCAGCACTTGTCCCAAGCTTTGGTCGCCCAGCGAAGGTTCTGGTTGCAACGCAAGGGGCCACTCTGTGCTGATGGTGCTGGCATTTGCCATACTTCCAAAAAACTGCCAGATGGAACAGCGTTGTTGTCATAGGCTCCTCCGTAGCGGGCTGCACAGAAATGCAAAACACTGCAAAAACCTTGCTTCAGCAAGGGGGTCCTGAACCAATTTAGCGAATCAAACTGCTGTTCCAAACAAATCAAGCTTGTTCAACTCTGAGAATAACACAGATAACACCTGCAGCTACTTCCAAGGGGCCTCAATTAAACAGAGTAGACCCCAAAATCTGGGGTCTAACATGAAAAACAATGTGGTTAATGTTTTCCTGACCATGTTAGACGGGCCTGGGGGTACGACATTGACACGTCTAACCTGGTTTTCTCACGAAGCATTTTATGATACTTTATGGTTTACGTAGACGTTAACTTTCATTGTAGACCCTCATGTATATGAAACATTCTAAACAGAAAGCAGGAGCAGCATCTTTCTGTTCGTTCATACCTTAAAAGGAACCCCATTTGAGCCCAGCCCACAAAAGCCACAGGCACGACTAGGGAAGAGGAAGGCTAGGTAGCAGGGATGCGTGACTGGGTGGATTCCGTGGACATTAGCATCACTGACTAAGATCGCCACTTGGGAAAGAACACGCTTTTTGTTGAGCAAGCAGACAGAGCATGGTGAAGGTTTTTGTGGGCTTGACGTGGAATGCACTGATCTTCACCGGAGATGTTGTTGAGGAACTGTGCTTCTGGGGAACAATCCTGGACCCACCATGGGTCTGATATGGAGGTCAAGAGCTTCTACCAAAATTGCATGTTTGTTCATGCTTTTCAAAGGAACCCATTTAGACCCAGCCGCAGCAATCACAGGCAAGAGCGCACCTATGGAAGAGGAAGGCTGGGTAGCAAAAATGTGTGACTGGGTGAGTTCCCTGGACATTAGAACTTTGCCTGAGTAAGATCTAGGTCAAGAGCAAAACCAAAGGTCTGGGGCCATGGTTGCTTGGCTTCACCACGAAGTGGGATTCTGTTGTGTTCCTGTTGGATGTGTTCGGAGACACCTCTCGCCCTCTCTCTCTCTGTGCAGGGATTCTTGTTCCTTCAAACTTGGTCGAACAGAACTTGATAGACACTGATCACTCCAAGAAGTGGAACACAGTCATAAGGTCTAGAATGCTAGAATGTTTTTGGTTCTATGGTGTTTAACCCACGGACCATATAAGGGGTCTACAGTGAAGTAGGAGCTTTCCATTTTAAGGTCTACATTGAAAGTTCAAATCATGTTAAACCTCAGCCTCCTCATACCTGGAGGTATGCCCATTCTAGACCCTAAGTAGTTGAGGGTCTCACAAATAGCTAGTGCATGCAAGTGCGAAATACAGTTCTACAGACGGTACATCTGATTGTGGGCATTTGTAGCGAACATGTTTGTGGCCACAGCGTCTTGTCCCTTGGAAAGAAAGCTCGGCTGGTTGTACCATGAGTCTGGAGTGGTCAGGAAACAGTGGAAATGTGCATTTTGCACCAACGACTGCCAAGCATCGTAAGGAAAACATCAAGACCAAGGCCCAGATTCCAGCCGCGATCTTGAGGCAAAGGTGCCTTTGCGGACTTGCACCAGGCTATACGGTCGCTGTGAGAACTGCAGTTGCGATTAAAATGCCAATCCTCTTGGCCTGTGTCACTCACCCGCTACTTTCAGTGATTCAGGTTGGGAAAACAAAGTTCGAAACCCGCACCAAAGATAGGCATCGTCATTTCAATTTCTAGACTACAGTATATATACTTAACTCATTAGTATACCCTGGTATGTGATTGCATAAACTACTACTAGTTACATAAGTGTCTATTTTTTTGAGGCCTTCAGAAGCATTTGCAAAGGCATACTAGTCACTAGCAGCTTCACCGATCTGACACACCGATCGCTCCACCGATCGCTCCCCTCCCCCGCACGTAGCGAAGAGCGTTGGCCAAGGCGCAGTAATCCCAAACGAACATTCTGTATGGTGACGTACTTCTGCACATATATGCCACTGGTGAAGAGTTTTGCCTCAACAAACGGCAGCTGTAAGAGTTTTGCCTCGGTGTCGTAGGAACTACAGGTATGCCAGGGTGCTGTTTCAGCCCATCCATCGCTGGCCTCCATCATTCTTTCAGCCTGAGAGCGTTCATCTTCCACCGCCTACGGTGGATTGTTCTTGTTTTCTCCTTTCCCCTGCTTTTGCAGGTATCTAAAGGGTTTGTTTTTGTGTGTGCATCCTGAAACACTACAGTACCCTTATTTCACAACAGGAAGAAACTGGTTAATGTGGAGGAAGGATGATAATACTTAATACAGTATGGCGGTGTTAAATCGAAGCACACCTACCAAGGGACAAGCTAGACCTAGTTGCATATCTGCTGGGAGAGGAAACACACGACCACTGGAGGTTTTGCATGGTTTTGCTGCTGCATCGTTTACACACCTCACTGGATGCAACTCGTACTACTGAATATTGGGAGGTTCCCGTGGCTGTGATGAGTAGAGCGAATTAGACTGACTTGGAGGCCCGGAATTACCCCGGAACCGGAAAATCTTTCCTGATGTCTTAGCGGCCAGAAACCTTGTTTACATTTGTTTACCCTTTTCTCCTTTGGCAGGCTCCTTCCTATCAACCTTTGCAAAAAGCTCTCTTTCGTCTTCATACGAGGGAGGTTTGTTGATCAAGAGTCTACAAGTCTACATTGTTGTACCTCTCGTCTGTGACCGTGATTGATTCCCTCCCAGCCAAAAAGAAGGCAAAAGCGATTTTCAGCGCCCGAACCGATCACGCTGGCCGGAATCGAACATCGAATAACCCTTGTCGCTCCAGTTCTCAAACTTTGCCAGGCAGCTGGGCGTCCTTTCCCACCATCCTCTCCCCTATCATCGAAGCGAAAAAGTGCAGACCACGGTCCTCAGCACGGTCCTCAGCAGACCTGATCTCCCTCTGTGCATTGAGTGGACCCTCGATTGACTAGTGTGTTTTGTTCCAATAATCAAGACCCTCGTGACTTTTGAGAATGTGGATATGCTTGTCTGGCCTATTGTGCAATATATGATGTGTCACGGATGATATCGAATAATTGTAGACTGACTGTAGACGCATTTGCAGCAATGCATATATATATATGACATGCAGTATGCTAAAGGCCGTCCCTTGGCTAAAGTATAGTTGAATAGATTCATAGCTGTATGTCTTTCAGGCATTGCCTTGAGCAGCATTCAATCAAAGCAGTCCAGTCTGCAGCATGTGATGAACAATTTACTTATTCTTACGAGCAAGAGCAATTCCCCAAATGATGCATAATGTTCGAAGTTGTGGGAGTCAGCCGAAAGAAGTCCTGCTAATTTGGGTCACCTTGCTGAAGTCCAGGTGTCTTGGATGCAACAAGACACTGAGCTAATCCACAAGAAGTCTTTTTGCCTCTATTATCAGCAATTTCAGGCTCCATGAAAATCATTGGTTAACGTTGCGTCAAAGCATCACTCAACCCAATTTTTCTTGACATCATCAAGTTGGCTTCAAACATTCATGAGCGTCCTGCTCAGTTTCAGCCTCTTCAAGTATCCAAAATACCCCTTCACTGTCGAGGCCAATCACACGAGCCGAATGGAGAACGCTTTGAAGGCTCACTTAAAGCTAGCAACTACAGTAGAGGTTCAATCTCCAGCCGAGCCCCCCCAATCTGTGCGAGCGATGCCGAGCCCCCAATCTGTGCGTTCGCTCACACGCCGACTAGAGCGGGGGAATGATGTTCCACCGTATCCCACCTCATCTGCGGTCTGCCTCCCCAGGTGCTTTTTCGCATCATTCACTGCACGGGTCTAGGCCTGAGCTGAATCGAACACAGTCACAGGGATGGCACAAACTGAAGATATGAGCAGATGTATACAATACAGTATACAGTCAATTGATGCATTGATCAAAAAACACATTCACATGGTGATGTGCAAACCTCCTTACACTCCTGTTGTTATGGGAACAAGCGCAATCTAGCAACCCTTTTGGTGATTTTTGGTGTGTCCAAAGATGTCCCAAGGTTCTGCTTCCCCCGTGGCGCAAGAGGCGCTGGGAACTCGCAGCGGGCTTGGGAACTCGGACTGCCAGGGTTGGGTTTCGAGGCCTCCCGCAGGCCGTTTCTGCTGCCTGCCCATCTGACCGCACCGAACCGTCGAAGGCCGGGCCGTTTGGTCGTGCACCCGGTTTTCGTTCACCCGCTCACCCGTTTTCTTTGTCTCGCATGAATACCCGGGGTGGTCGAACGAACGCTGTGCGAGGTGAAACGATCATTCCATTGGCTCGATCTTTTGTACATCCTCAGAAATCCTCACAAGGTTTCACATGGCAAGTCTGCCAGCTTCACGAAACCAGTGTCGGGACCGCTGCTCACTCTGCTCACTCAGGTCTGTCATCACAGCCTCACTCCTCCTCCTCGAGATCCAACCAGGTCCGGCGCGCTGCCTCAGCCAAGATGGGCCTCCGTGGTTGCTCTCCCCTGGCGTGGCCGCAATGCTGGATGCCAAGTGTCTAGAAGTAAGTACTGCATCTCTGTTTCTAACCTTGCATCTGTGATTCATTGTGATTCTATATGCTATAGATGTTGCACCACGTTGGACATCTTGAGATGAGTCCACGGAAGTCCCCCAAACGAGATGAGCCTAAGGATGCTCTCGGTCAAATGCAGAAGCTTTGTACTGCAGCTTGGAGGGAGGAAGCGCAACACTGCGTTCCTCAAACCAGTGCAAAGAAGATCAAAGAAGCACAAAAGTCGACGATCCTGTGCTTTCCCAGGCCACAGTGAGCTACTGTTGCCTCTCACCATGAAAAAACACTTTGGGCCCCGAAGGGCACTGCTTTTGTTGCGCAAAGTGGCAGGGAAGCTTACTGCAAGGCAGGCTAGCTAGCTCGAAGGAAGGCGATTCTGATGAGGTCTTGCCTTGCTGGGCGTTCTTTGATCTGAGTTGAATTGGTCTGAACTCCGCACCCTGTTTCATCATGTTTCAAGAGACCTCGCAATATGTTGCACTTGCATATTACATCTTTAGGATGGTACGCCATTTGTTCGCAAGATATCCCAAGATCACCAAATGACAACAATGACTCGAATCTCCAGGTTCTTCCCGGGTTTCTACAGCTCAAGAAGCTGTCCAGCTTGGGCTGCATAGTGCACCGCTGTCTTTCCATTCTCCGCAGGTGCCAGCAAGTCGATGCCCAAGCCCTCCAGAAGCAGCCGGCCAGCTTCGTACAGTACGTTAAAGCAGCAACAACAACAACAACAACTGTAACAGTCCAGAACTGTAGGTTTCAATCTGTTTCAATGGCCAACTTTGGGAGCTGAGACCTTGGTTTCCTTCATCTCCAACACTGTCCAACACAGCACATCTCCTGAACCGCGCAGACCATACATTCGGACAACTGCACATCTCCTGAAAAAACTCCAAGACGGCAACGTGGCCAGCAGCAGCCTGACCAAAATATCAGGCTTGCCGACGGTTCAATAAAGGTTTAAAGTTTAAAGAAAAGAGATAAAAGCCTCACTGCACCAATCGTAGCTCGCTTGACCAAAAAGTGACCATGCTCCTGTTGGCAATGTAGTTTGATTCCCAATACGTTTTTGCTTGCATCTCTCGGGGAAAACGAATCAAACTCATCGGAAACGAGCTCGCCCTGCCGCGCGGTGCAGCGCCGTCTTTCCAGTTCGTCCAGCAAGCGCAGAACCTTGTCCACCAAAATAAAATAAACACGGAAAACACCAAATATTGGTCTTATTTGGTCTTATTAAACCAATATAATAATCAATATTAAAACACCAGATATAGGTCTCGATATTGGTTATTTGGGGGTTGTCCAACAAAGCTCTTCTTTTTGAGCTTGTATCGCCGGCCTTTCGCGACCCTTTCGCGTTTGCAGAAAAACCACAGGTTTTCCTTTCGCGCATTGTGATGAGCTTGTTCCATTGCACTGAGTTCACAGTGTTTGGGACATCTAAATCCCTTTTAGTGCGCTGAGAAGCAGGCTAATTACCCTTTGTCAATTCATACTTGAAACAAAGGTTTCAAGGCTTATTTCAAGGCCATGGATGGGCAAATGCCCTTCCAGGCAATGCGCTCTTTCGCGGGCCTACCGCCGGCCTTTCGCAGCCCTTTCGCGAAAATCCATGTTTCTGTTCGGGAAAAAGGATGTGTCATGTATTATGCACATTGTATGTAAGTCTAGGTTGGCACATGTCTTTCGCTGTCCTATCGCCGGCCTTTCGCGGACTGCAGTTTCCCTTTCGCGACATGTTTGTTTTAACAGTTGATCGAAATTCCTTCACTCGCAATAACGGACGGCCCTCATTTGGTCTTAGAGTCTTTATATGTCTTAATATTGATCTTGCGATGTTTGCTTGTTCTTGCCTGCTTGTGAATCAACACAGGAGCGACTTTTGGACCAACGGGTGATGTCGGACGACAAGCAGCGGGTAGGACTTTGACCACAAGACATGTGCAGGATGGCGCACCACAAACAGAACCCTCCATAGATGTGTTTGACACCAGGTCATAATATGGCATGATGGAAACGCACTGAACAACACGCGGAATCACACTCGTGTGATGCAGAACCCGTCGGACCTCCACGTGTCCAGCATCCGCAGCCAAGTGCGCTGCAGTCAGCATGCGGCCATCTCTTGCAGTCAGGTCCTTTCAATGAGGTGAACATAGGTGAACAAATTGCTTAAATTTGGTTCAAGACCATTCAAGACCTCACAACTTTCCACCGGGGTCGCACGGTGAATAGTACCCTGAATAGTACCAGCATCTGCTACTGTTACTGCTATAGTAAGATGTCATGTACTTCTGAGAGAGCAAGCTTGCCTTTGCAAATGAAAACTGCCATGAAAACCGTCGTCGTGGCATGCCGAGAGTCTGGGGAGTGTCTGGGGGAATGAGACAGAAACGAGTTGGGCACCAACGAGTCGGCCCTGAGCCCTGCTGAGCCCTGCTGAGCCCTGCTGAGCCCTGCTGAGCCCTGCGGCTGAGACACAGCTCCGAAGTCATACAACAGGCGTAGAACCTCACCACTGCCACCGGTGGCTGCCTGACAAGTGCGTAGTGCGTAGAATGCATAGAACCTCCTGTCTCTCACCTGTCTTTGGTTTTGGTCATGAGTCAGAAATGGTTGGTCGTCTTCCTCAACGCTTTTTCTTTCTCCAGGAGGTGCAGGACGTCTTCCAACACCAGAAAATTCCTCAGTCAGTGCCTCGCCGATTCCTCGGGACCCTTCTCTCGCACCTTGTTTGCTTCTCACCCGAAAAAGGAGCGCACGAGGGTGTCGCCCTCTCGGACCGCCTGGTGCACCGCGGTAGATCCATGCGGCTCGCAGGACTCGTTGGGATCGATCTTCGATTCCAAGAGTCGTCGGACCTGAAGGTCAAGGTGATGACTGTCGGTGATGACTGTGCTGACCCACAGTGATGCTTGAAGGATGATGCGTCCTACATGAGCTTCACACAGCTTGTTACTGGCCAAGTTCTTGGATTCGGAATTCTTGGGAAGGTCAGCTGGTGGCACCTTCGTATATTCTTAGACCCATAGTCGCATTGGGGCATAACATGATATACTCCAACCGGGACATCAATGAAACTCCTCGGGACATCTCACCGTTACAACACAGCAGTGCAGAGGATCTTCCAGTTGCTTGTGTGGACAGCCTGACATCGAACTCAGTTCTATAAGATAATTATTACCCTTGATGAGTTGGGCCAATGATCCTGTTGTGTTTGCTGGAGAACATCTTCCACTGCTCTATCTCCTCTGCACGCATGAAGCTGTTGTCTTGATTTAGAAAACTTGAAAACACCACGTTTGTGGAGAAGAGCAATCCCAACGGGCTCAGCCCATGTTTTGCCTCATCAACATCCCCTGTGCGGCAAGGGCCATGATCGGCACAAAGGCTGCTCATAACTCTCTCTGATGGATCAGGCAAGTGTCAAACCAATCCAATGAATCGTTTCGGCCTACGCACATAGCGTCATGTCTGTTTGTGGAAAGAGATATGGGAAGTTGACCGACGTCCGGCAAACTAAAGTCTATCTCCGCACACTCGGTTGATGAGCCCATAGCTTGCGGATGTCGATCGAAAACAGGTCCGTCCATGATCTGATTCTTTTCATCCATTGTTGGTGCTCGGCCAATGTATTTGGACTCAGCCTGTGAACATGATGCTTTGACTTTCTGTCCTATGTGAGATGGTCGGGCCATGATCAAGTCATGGTTGGGTCATGGCCCACATTTGTTCGCCACCTTAGAATTATGTTTCATCACTTCTTACCCCTCGTGTTCCAAATAAAGGGCAAGTATCATGTAAAATGCCATGAGAGGGGGCCGAGCCGCTCTTACGCTTTGAGCCATTCCGCTTCTTCTCGCCCTGCTTGCGGTGCGAAGGGAGTCTTGTGAGGATTGAAGCCAACTATTCCTAATACCTTTGTTTAACACAAACGTTCCAGCATTTTCCTTGCAGCGCAATCAGTTTGACCGAGTTTGAAAGGGTCTTTTTGAGCGGAAGGGTTGTCTTCGAAGGTGCCCACTTGCTTCACTGGTTTGGTTCCAAGGAGGGCAGGAAGGGCTTTGCGGAAGAGTGGCTGAGGTAAAAGACGTATGTGGGACAAGTGTTAAGAGCGTGGCCACCTGTCACACGAATGTTTCTTCTCCCAAAGGTATCACTTGTGAGAGAAGGATTTGGGGACTCAATTGAACCTATTATAATCTATTGACTTTCTATTTTTGAGTCTGAAATGAGAAGCAAAGGAGCAATGAAAAAAACTCTTTGTTTCTTTGACAGTGCAGCTAAGATTGATATTTGTTCGTTGAGAACCTGAAGAGGCTGCTACTTCTTCAGGATCTTCATCAGTGGCCCTACTAGCAGCGAAGGCATTTGGGTGAAGAGATCGTTTTGGAAGAGCGGAAAGCCGAGTTTGGACTCCAGATTCTACGCCATTTGTGGCACTTTGCGTCCACACCCCGTCTGACCACCTTCGGCCACGCGGCCTCCCGACCCCCCTTCCTTTGGTTCGTTGCGTGGCAGGTCACCCAGGAGACCAGTCTCGCGACGGCCGGTGTTTTGGGTGGAGTTGCGGATCTCGGAAGCTGGGTGGCTTTTGGGTCCGGAGCCACAGGAACCGCAGGAAGTCATAGGCGAGGGACAGCCATTGGATCAATTGGATCTCAGATGGTTTTCTGTCAAAACGAAGATCCTGATTGCCAAAGACTGGTGCTGCTTCGCACGGGATGGGAGCTCCGGGTCTGGATCTTTGAAGTGAAGGTGACCATCCCCACTTAAGGCCACCCAGACCGTTTAAACTTTGGAGTTTGGGTGGAAATAGAATGCTTTTCCTCCGGGTCACTCCAGATCCGATGATGGGCTCAAGCGCTAGGACGACGATATCTCCACCGTCCCCAAGCTATCTTGGAAAGCTCTGATTTGCGGGAAAATACATCTAAAGTAACTCACTGGAAAGCTCGCCAGTGATAAAGGCCAGCTGTAAGTGGTTTTGAGAAACACAACCCTGGCCTATTTGACAGTGTTTGTATATATGTGGAATAAGCTGGCAAAGGCCTGCTCCTCCACAGGTTCTTGCTACAGCTCTTTGTAAGCAAATGCCGGAATTACACCAGGCACTGTGGCAATGCCAAACACTTGGAGCTTCACAAACGCGTTGAGAACTGGCAGCCAGGCCACTTGAACTTCCGGCTGAAGCTCAATGTCCAGAGTCTCCTTTGCACTGCGCTTGTGTCGTTATCAGAGCACATAAGTTGCACTGTGTTTGTGTGCCTCTGATGCTGCTTCCTGCAAGAAACTTCGGCCTGCAACTGCAACAAGTACTGAAACGGACAACCCATGCGCTATTCGGCGTGCCACGCCGGATGCCACACCCTGCTGATCCTTCGATGACACGCCGGACGCCACAACCACCGTCGGATGCCCAGGGCTCTTTCGGCTACAGTATTTGTGCCCACCTGGCATGACCAACAAAGAGCTGAGGCCCAAAATCAATGCAAACACGTCCAATTATATATAAGAAGTCCATGTTTCATAAATTAGTATATAGTATATTATATATAGTATAACCCTCAAACTGAAGCGGAAAATGCCTGAACAACATGCCATAACGTCTAAAAGCTTGAAGTGTATCTGGTGTCGCGGCTGTACGATGAATCAACATGGGAAATCCTCCTTGAAAACATTAAAGCAAATTGCAACAGGAAAACATCAGAGCCTGAGGTGCTCAAGAATTTCAACAGAAGTCTGCAAGGAATAAACATAACGCTTCTGGAGATGGCCAACCTGCATTGCATAATCTGCTTCATTCCTGCGGAATTACAAACTACAAAAGCAAAGCTGTACCTTTTTCTGCTCAATTGCAACATTGTTGCTTTAAGCACTGGTCAAGCACCACCCAATTTTGGGTGACACTGGAAAACGTCAGAAACTTCGTCCTTGCCGCACGCTTGCCGACTCACTTGCTGGGCAAGGACCGAAGGAACCAAAGCGACCGAGGGTGACAAAACAGGTGGAGTCCTTGCCACTGTGCTCATGTGCTTGGACAAACTTGCAATCAGCATTAGTGAGATGACAGCTCAGGTGTGGTTTACTTTGGCTGTTCACTGGCTCTTGGTGTTCACGAAAAACCCAAGGAATGCTCTTGTTCTGGCTCTCGAGTCGGAGCAATTGCTAGGGATAGGATTTGCAGATGTGCAAACATGTGCAAACCATCAGAGAGATGGATTTCATCCAGGTGGATGGAACCAACGTTGTTGCAGTGGTCTCCTCAGCACTTGGAGGGTCCTCAGCATTTGTGCTTCCTTCCACCGGAATAGCGGACGGACGTCCCGTAATTAGTCGAGCCACAGGTCCAAGATCGTCGATCAGCAGACAGTTGATGAATGGAACAACTTGGGTGGGTTCTAGGCGAAATGTGGCCAAATCCCCTAAACTAAATGTGTCACCATAAAAGAAGGCGCTCAACTGTCGGTACCAGTATATCCGTTGCTTCTGTCCGTGGCAAATCAGCCAAGAAAAACCGCAGTTGTATGTCTTGCATTGTTGTTCCGAGAAACCAGTTTGCCCCGATAGAAAGGTTTCATGATGTTTATGTTCATGTCACCTCACCTCCAGGTGGCTCTTGGACCTACAAAGGCGGCAAAAAGGCCAACGGCTGCGGACTTCGGTGATTGCCCCTTTCGGCCCGACAGCCCCGCAGCGGAAACACGCCGACTAAGGGGGGCGTGTTAGGGAGTGAAGTACCACAGCCTAGAGACTCAACATCATATATAGTGGCTATTGTTTGGCAAACTGTTTCTAGTAGTAACAAGTGCCTCGCTAGTAGTAACAAGTGCCTTACTAGTAGTAACAAAAAGCTATTAGAATTGTTTGGCAAGGGAAACAGGATGCTGAGCGGATCATCTGGGCGGGTCAAGTTCTCACTCGATCAGATCGTTCGATGGTGACTGTAGATGGCACTGAGGAGGTGATGTGGGAGCAACTGCCCTCTCTTTTTGTTGCATGGGGATGTACTGTCTGTTTAGCTTAGACATACTTAGTATCTGCAGCTGTGCTTCTAATTCTATGTTTTGCCATGATAGCCACAGATCTAAAAAATGCTGAGCTTAACAAGCCAGTGCGTTCAGTCGGGCAGTGCCTCAGCTTGAGCGGACAGAAACTTGGCTCTCGAATGCACAACTTGGCTTCGACTGCTGTCTACATGGTGACTTGTTTTGCGCTGCCGACGCGCTCTTCCTCGTTTAGGACCTCAACGACTGCTATCTGCTTTGACAAAACACGCATAGATAGTATAAGGCTGATGTTCTGCAAGGGCTTCAGGGCTTTAAAAGGCGGTCCTTCTTTTTCCACCAAGCCTGACGCGTGAATGACACGGAATGACGCGACACCTCCATCTGGCGGGCGTCTCTCCTCCTGTATGTGTCTGCAGACTGTCAAAAAGTAAAACCTTTACCACAGGTGGCCTTTACATATTATTTATTATCTTCCTCATCGTTTTACAGTTCTTTGGCTGACTAGCACGTGCGCGTGTACAGGAAGGTGTTTTAGGCTTGCAGGTTGCTTGTGTTATCGTTTCGTACCCGGAAAAACGTCGATTTCTATGCATAAACAGATGCTGCAACACCACACTGCTCGTTGTCTTGTGGGGGAGACAAACCTGAGATGAAACGTTAAAAACACGTGGAAGGGTTGTCCATGTGCAGGGTTATTGTTCCATGTTCGTCCTTATATCTCGATTTACGGTGGAGGGAGCATCCTTCGGGCAAAATGGATATGCAAGGACCAAACTTATTTACTGTAAATTTGTGAGTGGGGGGCTTTGTACTCTCTTGTTATGTGGTGTCAGAACTAGAAAATAAATCGGCTACATACACAGATAAAAGCCAACATTTCAGGGCCTGATGACCTCCCACTAGATGTCCTTGCCCAGGCACACCCAAGATCTGTCACACAAGTTCACCTTGGCATGACAACAAAAACTTCTCTTGAAACTTGCCGGTCTTCTTCTACAATATATACATACATATATAGGTATACATGTTATTTCATTGACTGCTGAGAAGGTCTCGTGTTCTATTACCTCAATAGTCCAGGATTCCTTGACATGGAAACTTTTTGAGTGCCAAAGCCGGATTCAGTGGGATGCAATGATGTAGACTCTTGATTAAAAAGAACACATTTTTGAGAGGTTTTTCATTCCAACTGGGGGGTTAATGAATCGATATGACTTCCATCAATACAGGCCTGGTGATGTTTTAATGGGTGGAGCTCAGCTCAGAAGAGCTCAGCCTGCGCCTGCGTGCAGTCTGAGATGCCAGGACTTCGCGCAGGAACTGGTATGCCTTGCATCATCACGAACTGTTCTTCGACATCCGAAGAACGTCCTATTCAGAATAGACATATCCAATGTAGAGATGGAGAGAGAGAGACAGAGAGAGAAAGAGAAAGAGAAAGAGAGACCTGATGCAGCATCCACCAGCCCCCTAGATATTGAAAGCACATTCCAACAAGGCTGTATCTCAAATACTTTGCTGAGTTTTCTCCGTTGTCAATCCCCTGCTGATGCTGAGCACAATCAATCCGGCATTTCATTTATAGTAATTGACTTGCCCCTGGCTTTTTGCTATTTTGCTGAGCAGCTCAAGTCCTGCGAGGTATTGGTATTCGGGTCCTCTTCCACTGCATTTGGCAAGCCTGCCAGAAACTTGAGTTACTTCCTGGATAAGGTGAAAGTGAATCGGAGATTTCTGACTTTAATCCAAATTGTATCTGAAACGTGTCATCGCATCTGAAATCAGGTGTTCATGGTTCCGAGTGCAAGTCCAGGGGCACAAACGATGCAACAAAATAAAAACATCAGCAAACATCGTAGAAATCTAGGATCAGGCAAATGATCTTCCCAGAATGTTTGGTGGGAAGCATCATTCAATGTCATTCCCTCCGGATGAGGCCATGCAGCCTGCAGGTTCGATGGTCACAGCCGTTGTCGCAGTCGTTTTGGCTTTGGCCGAATCGCCTCGTTCAGTGGCAAAAAAACTGACCGTACGTATCACTGTTCCACGGAGTTATATAAAATGTTCGGGATTGTACCTAATTGGCTTTACGGCCTTTTACCAATTTGCACCTGATGAATCAGCCAAACAAATGAATGGAGGAACCACCCACATCGGTCATGAACCATCATCTCACTCAGTGACTACAAGCCCTTTCTAGACCCATCATGAAAACGCCGCAACCACCGGCACCATGCCTGCAAAACGAAGCGAAAAGACAAGACACGAACCGGGCGAAGGAGCGAATGCACTCTCTTCAAACAAGCGGCCTGTGTCCTCGGAAGGCTCAACCTTCCTATTATGGGAGTAATCGGTCAACTCTGCGCTCGCATCGGTGTCAAAAATGCCTTGGGCATCTTAGCGACTAGCGTTTCGCTGGAGACGATTCACCAGGTTTCCACGGCATCGCTTGGATACATCACATAAACCGCCTGGACCTGGAACTTTGACGTCGACTACTACAGTTGATCTCCTTTGCATTGGACTTCAACTATAAAATATATACGACTATATATGTTTAAAGTTCTCAAGAGTGACTCATGTATGCACAGGCTGATCCTCTCTCCGGACTGTATCCGGGATATCAACGGATGCTATACCATGCGTCTTGCGCCAAGATGCGTCCAAAAGATAAACTCTCAGAGGTATCAACATGTCTGACGGTAATACCTGCGAGACGGGGACGTCTGGTGGACGTGAGCCTTCCGTTCCTCTGAGCTATATATATGTATATATATACTCAGAACTGAGGAATAAAGACTGGTGAAGTGCCAGGATGCGTGGCTCCTGTCATGATGGTCAAAATATGGTCAAAACACAGGAAGAACCTCAAAACCACTGGTTTTGTAGAGGAAAATGGTGCTTCAAAGGTCCATTTTCAGGTTGGGATGGGTCAAGACCTAAAGCCCACCAGTGGCCCCTGGTCCACTGCAAAAAGACCTTCCACAGTAGACCGAAACCGGTGGGGATCCTGGTGCAATGACCCACAGCATCCCACAGCCGATAGCTAATGCCTGACCAAATTCGATGTTCCTTGTCATGTCCCTTTTCATCCACGGACACAGCAAACATCGTTCGACACCTCGTTCATCCCCTCAGCCAGAACCACTTAGCCATAGCTCGGCCTATGGTTGAAGTCACTCCGTTCTCCTCCTCGTCCTCGCCTTCCGCGTCAGACTTGCCTGTGACGACAAAACGACAACACGTCCAACCCTGCCACCGACGTGTAACTCTCTAGGGTTCTATACAGCCTGCGCGCTCTATCTGGAAATATCTTGGTGATGTCCTTTTGAATGGTTTGCACCACATGGCCGCGGGGGGGTCTGTCTGCCACAACCGCTCAGGCTGATGCCAGCCTTTGGCAAAGGCACGCTGGATGACAAAGGCCAGGAGGCCACATGAAATCGACAAAACAGCTCCCATCTTGGCCTCGAAAGGGCTCAAAAGGAAAGGCTGCAGTAACTACTGTAGATTGCTGGTCAGCTGTGTTGAATCAAGTGCCTTTCCAAGTTTGAATGTAGTGCAGCTGCCGAAAGACCTCTTCTTTTCATAAATCTTCAATTAGGGTAATTCACCTGAATCTCCCTCTCCGCATGCACAGGCACACTACCATTGAGTCGTTCGGTCCAAGAAGTGCCCATCAGTTCGGAGTTCGGTCCCGCTTTGGACCCGTTCTCCCTCTCGCCCATCTCGCCTGTCCCCGCATCTCAGGCTGGACAAAAGCCTCGTTGGCCACGAACAACGCCACTGTGAGACCTACACCGCCAAGGGCCTCAGGGCGAGCGTCAGTTCGGTGGGCTGATGGATGCCGATGGTGTGAGGCTCAGGCTCAGGCAATGCCCAGATTCCAAGAAATACAACATAGGACACCCAATAGTGCTAAGTGCTGCTGATGTACCGGCACATTCCCATCAAAACGTGAAAACATGCCGAATCTGATACAAGCAGCCGCAGTTGCCACCAAATCAGGCACACTCAGCCCCTTTGGCAAAGGGGCTCCTGCTCGATGCTAGCTGAGCAAATTCTTGTGTTGAAGGCCATGGCTGCTGAGTAAACCAGTAGGCTATTCTCAATGTTACCAAGCTACAAAGAAAATGAACAGGGCTGACATATGTGTGGGGCAGGATGACGACAAAAAGACACTGATTGATAAGGTGCAATACTACAGGCTGCTGTTGAGAGAGGTGCACTTCGGCCCTCCACGAATCACTTTGTGCCTATGCAGTGGCCCAGAAGGCTCATCCCTGCAATGCCCACGGTCTTTCCGACCACTAGCCTCGGCTACGAATCTCGAGGGAGACCTGCAGACCTGCCGGTCCTACTCAAAGCTGCAATCGGGCGTCTGGATGACTAGATGGGCAGAAATAGGCAGACATTCCTTGCATAGCCTTGCCTCGTTGACTCATCTGAAGAAAACAAATATACGGCCCAGGTTCCAGGTACTGTGCATGTATATATACATATATATATACAGTATATATATATATATTATAAATGTATATATATACACATCATTAGTGTAGTGATGTGTAGTGTATCTCCGCCGACCCCGCTTATGCCCAGGCAGGGTTCCTGGCACACCGCAACTTGAACAGTTCGCTGCGGCAGTCGCCACGCTGTGCTTTGAAGCCGCAGTTGGACTTCCAACACATCAAGATGGGTCGCCGGCACTGGGTAATCATTAGCTCATTCGCCAATCTTGTTCATATTTGCCCGTGGTCAAAACCCGGAGCCCCAAACCAGGGCAGGTTGACCTCTATTCTGTTCAGTCTTGGTGGTTAAGCCACGGTGTCGTGAAAAAAACACCAAGGCCATTCCCTTTCCATCCCTTCAGCTCGCTTCGTCTCATCCACCACCCGTTCGGCCCAGGTGCGCCAGGCCGACACATGCTGTGACTCCACCGATGGAATCGAGCCTGACATCGATGAAGGGACCGTCTGGTCTTTACCGTCTGGTCGGACGGTTTCATTTTTATTTGTCGCGCAGTTGAAACTGCACACATCGTGGTTCTCTTTAACGTGCGTTCTCACATAGCGTCACATACACCCCAATGTACAGAAGGGTTGGTCAAGTTACACTACAAACTTACACTGCGAGGAAAAGGCTGTCAAAATTGCCGCTGAACCGTCAATGCCTAATGCCGCTGTACAACAACAAGCAGGCTTCGCAGTGGCCAATGATGGCCGCGAATCGCTGAGGCTCTTGCTTGACTCCGGCATTCACCAAGCCAAAAAAGAACATGCCTCAGCATTAAAGGTGGGCGAAACTGGCTAGCAGAATATAGCAGAATTGAATGCCTTGATTGAGCTTCCGGATCTATAGAAACATAGCATAAATTTATGTCTTGAATAGTCAGTGTTGCACGTGGCGGCTGGCAAAGCTGGACAAAATCTTTCAGAATCTAAGTACCCGACCAAAATCAACCACAACCTTAAGTGTGTGCTCGAAAACATGTAGAGGTGCATTCTCCTGCGCGGCACGAACAATGGAGGGTTTCAGCCTCACTCAACGATTCGACTGCGCTACTTTTGCTGTGAAGCTTTAGACTTCAGATTCGGATTATGTTCAGGGCCAGTCTCTCTCTCTCTCTCTCTTTCAAAGCATGATTCAAAATTGGTGTTGATACCTTACAAGAATGGATCCTCAGAATGACGTATTATCGTACATTCTTTCCAAACATGTCTACTCACAAGCGCATGACTCGAACGGAAGTACTGGAACAGCAGTAGGTCAGTGTGAAGATATTTAGGGACTCTCTGTGCCTCGGAAAGCCTGGCAACTCTTCAAGAATACAGAGTGTTTATTGGATAAAACAAATGTACACGAAAGGCATCCTACAGGGAAGCAGATCTCTCACCGAACACCCAATGCCCGGTCCTCGTTGTAGAACATGTTTTTAAAACTGCGGCGGACGAGATGGAGAAGTGCAGGCTTCGAATCGAAGTGGATTTGGAGTGATTGTTTTTGACGATGTAATATGATGTAATCTAAAAAGGGGAAAAGCGATGCAAAGCGTGTATTGATTGGGGCAAATCGTCAAACGGAAGTCTTGAAAATACAGCCCCAAATCCAGCATCTGGGCTCGTTTGGGTGCAAAGCCACCAGTGACATGGCCGCTGGTGGCATGGTTCCTTCCATTTGACTTTCAGACGTTCAGCTATGCACGGAACAAACTTACAAAAAAGTAATTCGACTCAGATTCACCCACTGAAAACAGAAACACCCGATGAGTCAACCCATCTGCCACATTCCCTTTCGGCTGGCGCCTTTTGGTTGCTATGATGGCAGCCTCCGAGACTGCCGAGGAGATCTGGCCAACGCGGCAGAAGGACGCTTGTCACATGGGTGTTCAATTCCCCCTGCAATTCGGCCTCCCTCTTGGACTGTCTGATTCTTTAGGAGGCCACCTGCCACCTTAAAGAATCCTCAATCCACAGTGCCCATACCAACATGTCAGCTTAAAGAATCAGGACTCTGCCAACACATACTGGGCACTGGCCCTAAAAAATCAGAACACGTTGAGCACAGTGCGCACACACTTGTGACACCCGGACTCCCCCTAAAGAATCAGAACACCTGGTACCAGTCCACGATGACAACAGCACACAACCAGTCCATGCGTGTGGCAAAAAGTGCACCTCTAAAGAGTCACACTCCGTTGCCACTCTAAAAAATGCATGGTGAACTCTAAAAAATGGATGGTGAACGGCCTGCTTTTTGACAACCCGGGTTGGCTGATTTCCTAGAGGAAATTGCAAGGGGGATGGTTTTCACATGTTTACACCCACCCGTGGTGACCCCGGTGGCCCACCCGCTCTCCCCAATTCTGCGCGGCGTTGCGGCCACGCAGCACCGAGACCTGCTGTTGCGCAAGCGGAACGAGACGTTTGTTCGCCCAAGTGGCCGAAGTTCGTCTGGACGTGGAGCTCCGCCGTGAGTGGGTGGCCGTCATCAAGTCCTCATGGACGGATTGGTGGGAACCATAGGAAAGAATAAAATTACACCAGCATAGACCCCAGATAGCAAAACATGCAAACAATAATTTCGGACTCCCCCCTGCGTTGGCAGCAGCTCCGAAGCACACACACATGATCACACTGGAAAAACGCCAATGTTCTGGCTGCTTGGAGGAAAAACTCTGTATTTCGACTCATACCACGGTTTGTGAATCTGGCGCTTCAATAATAGATCTGAATGATGCAGACCATATTGACCCACCTGTATCCTGCAATGTTTTTACGAGCACCAAGACCGACTCTTCAGGGCGACGGTGCCAAGCCAGCTCATATTCCGAACTGCTGGATCAACAGTCGAACAACTTCTGGTCTCCGTCAATGTGGGAAGAAAGTCCAAAACCAACGTCACCTGGAACGCTTGGCTACCAAAAGCCTGCTAGCCCAGGATGGCACACTTTCAAGAAGCGGCATGCCTTCGACATCCGCTTCCAAAACAACACTTTGTCAAACTCTAAAATTATGTCATCTTCAAGCACTAGATGTTCACGCAAAGCTCCATCAACCACATCCACAGCTTTGGAATGAGAGCATGCGCAACCATGTTGGCTCCAAAAGTCAACCGCCCCGCAGTTCGCCAGCTTTCCAAGCACCCTGTCTCCACCACGCGCACAGCCAGCACAGGCGCCCAGCACCGGCACCCTGTCTCCGCCACGCGCGCAGCCAGCAACAGCACCCAGCACCGGCACCCTGTCTCCACCACGCGCACAGCACAGCCAGCTCACAGCACCCAGCACCAGCACCACAGCCAGCACCAGCACCCGGCACGCGCACAGCCAGCTCATTGTTACTTGAAGTAAGAACCCCATAGCTGTCGCTATCTGGGAAAAAGAGAAACAAATTAAAGGAACCAATCGGAAAAGCAAATAAAGGTCTAGAAAAACAAATATCTAAAAAGGAAAGCAAAAGAAGATCCAATCCAAACCGAAAACCCATGTTCTTCCCTCAAACCGAAAAAAGATCGAAACGGACTCGACTCGGAAGCTTCGCACGTTTCCGGTTCACCATTCAATTCGCCGTTCGATTGGACCGGAGAATGCCAGGAGCCACGTTCTTAGCGTCCTCTTGCTCCCAGTGGCGATGCCCCTTGCTACTAGTAGCTTGAAACGGACGGACAGCGAGTCGGGCTGAGGCTAGCACTCGAGAACTTGTCTCTGACATAGTGTCAACACGCCCTGCTCATCAGCGCTGCGAGCCAGAGGAAGTTGAAGGCACTAATGTGTGTGGGCTTGCATAAATGTGTTGTAGATATGTGGTGTCAAATGTCCAACTGATGAATATGAGTACCGCTTGATGATTGCTTTGGTGGGTGCCTGATGCATATGGACGCAGCAACAGAATGTCCAGCATGTCGCTTGGATGGAATAGAAGAACCCTAGCTTAGTAGTACATATAATGCATGCATAACATCCAATATCATATACATACAGTATACAATATACATACTGTAATATATTTATTTATATATGTACAGTTAAAAAAAAATAGGCAAGTATAGTCAAGTACATAACTGGTTAACAGCCTTACAAACATTCGTCACGAGAGGATAAGCCTCTTTGGGCCGATGGGTCAAGTGCCTCATGTCATGCTTCAGCACTGGACATGCTTGTTGGCAGACCCTTTATTCAAACTCCTGAATACCACGTTTTCCCTCAGAAACGGCAGATCCAAAAATCACAGCTGCTGCCCGCCTAGGTCTCTTGGACCCTGTGGTGCAATCGCGTGTGTGGCCGGCATGAAGGGCACGATGAAAACCAGCCTCGGTCTCACTTTGGCCAAACAGGTTTGTATTTGAGGTGTATGTAGAAATCCACTATAGCACATGTCCCATAAAGGTGTTCCCAAAGCAGGGTCTCGTTCTGGCAAAACAAGGCCCTGATCAACTGATCAACTGCCAATTGCCACCTGTGAGTCATGCATCCATTGTGATACCATCAGGCTGAAATACCAAGCGACGCCAAAGCTGGATGAACGTGAGCTTTGAATAGCCCTATCCAAGAGAGTGGCGCCGCCAGGACAATGTAGGCCTGCGACAAGGAAGGAAATTGGAATGGATCAGCATGTCACATAACTTGTAATGTCCCTTGAACGAGTCAGTTTGACCCGGAATGCAAATGAACAGGAGGTGAGCCTATAGGCACGGCAAACTGGCTTGGCAGTCCGCAGATCAGCTTCCGCTCTTCCAGCAACACAAGCATTTTGTTAAGAACTACGATGCTTGAAGAGTCTTGAAGTATACAGTATACTGTATTATACTGTAGTAATTAGACAACATTACTGTTCAATGTGCAGCCGGAAGTTGTTGCCATACAAGAACCCCGTTGGTTGGTTGCATCAAGCTGGAAAGATCCATGCCTGCCATCGGCTGATTTTGAGCTTCCGCATGATGAAAGCAACTACCATGCCCTGGGAGCACTGGCCCGTGCAGTGAGATACCACCAAACAAGGAAGAAACAGAGAGAGAGAGAGAGAGAGGAAAAAACAAAAAGAAAGAGTCACCATGTGCAGATTGTCCACGCATGATTTCCACAGCAACACCGCCATAGCTCTGCTAGCACGCTAGCGCCACATAGTTCATGCTTTTGCAGTGATAGTTGAGAGAGGATAGCAAGAACTGACTGCCTACCTTCGCCTGCTTTCGCTACGTCGCCAAGTCACAGCAACCACCAGCAGGAGCCAAATGGGATCCACTGGATTTGCGGGATCTGGATAAAAGGCCTTTGCTGATGGTGAGCCTTCAAGCATCCCCCAAGCATGACAGCTTCACTCATCAAAACCAATCGAAGCTAAAAACATACAGTATCTTGTTGTGGATGGACGGAATGAAATATGCTGCAACCACCAAATAAACCAACAGTGGTTTTCAGGGCGTCGCTCAAGCACACCGTGATCAAAAGGAGATTCTCTGGAACTTCTGTGCATTGCGTGGCACAGTTAAGCATTTGCGTGGCCAATACCTGAAAGTTTTGAACATTGAATGTCTTGTTTGGTCATTTTCTGCATGGCTTTGTATGTTTCAAGCATCGCTGTCAGGAGTGATTGGACTGAATGGAGGGTGGTGTGTATGTATGTGTGTGTGCGCGCGTAATCCTGTATTGTGCTGCGGTGCCTTGGTTATCTGATGCGCTAAGTCTGAAACCTCAAGAGAATGGCCACCAATGTAATATCAACGGTCCGGTACGCCAACAAAGTCAGACAGGAGTCACAAAGGATTCTACTTTCCTGGTCCTATGAACTTCCAAGGACCTTCAATTGAGGAGACACCACCTTCAGGCTCCAAAGCAAATGTCCATGACTCTTGCCCACGTGGCCGTGAAAGGGCTCGACTGAGATTGACAGCTGATGTAATTACACCTCTTAATCTCTTACACTCTCATCCAGTTGGTCTGTTCTGATTCTTTTTAATGATTCATGCAGACTCCTCGCACAGTCGCCCACGTCCATCCCACACGTCCCCGTCCCAGGTGCCGCAATGATGATCATCCCCAGTGCATCGTCCAAGATCGCCAACAGCAACCTTCGCATCCGAAGGCTCGGTACATATGCATGAATGTGCTTCGTCCAGGATGCATGATCGCACTGAACGTGGTCCGAGTTATGCAGGGCCGAAATGTCCCTCACTAGTTGACTCGGCACAATGTTGAGCTTCCGGCAAGAAATTGATGGCCGCATGTCCCGGGCCGAAGATCAAAATGGCAAACATCCAGGCCAAGGAAATATCCGTCCTTGGCAAGAATGATGGGTGCTCAACTGAGGAGATCGGAACCGCATGCGTCCATTACTTCCTGACTTTTGCAGTGCATCAGAAATGCACAGAAACGCAATGACTTGACTTGAGTTTGTGCAAGTACACTGCACTGGGTGATGGTCAACAATGAGCCCCAAAAAACGATCTGTTCATTGAGGCAGGTGAATACGGTGAATAGCAGGGTATACACAAACGATGTGATTGTCCAAATGAGTCACAATCCTTAGACCATTAGACCATCTTAGACCGATCTCCGGGCGATGCCCTAACCTGAGCACCGGGCGCTGTAGGGATACCCCAACCCTGCACGAGGAGGAGGGCGTCGAGTTTCGACCCTTTTTGGATGGCGACGGAACGGCACGGAAGAGCTTGGAGCCAACTGGCATCTACTCCAATAGCAATGGCCTCCAACCTTAGAGCGATGGCCTCCAACCTACTCCTGCTGTGGCAACTGTAAAATGCCATGTCCAGGTGAACACAATTAGTGCCAACATGTGCCAACTCCCGCCTTGAGAACGGCTTCCAAGGAGCACTTGGCATTGTAATCGCTGGGTAGAAAGTCATCCCCACCTGCTTCAACTTCAATGATTCTGAGAGGGCTAAGTAGGAGTCCCGACCAATGCTAGAAAGTGAGACCATGCAAATGCTTGGTCAAGTTGGCTTCACAGTCACAGCTGCATGGTTTAAATACAACACATAGAATTGCGTAGATATGAATTATGCAACCGTTCAAATAAACAAACAAGCCAGCATGTTGGAGCAGAGGAGGAGTTGTTACTAGTAGCTTCTTGTTCCTAGTAGTAAGGCCAGGAGCCCCTAGTAGCGTCCTTGTTCCTAAGCCCGAAAATGCACGGCTTCGGACTCTTGGCTCCCAAAATCACGAGAGTGGTGGTCTTCCGCGCCTGCACCCCCTCCGAGCCGCCGGTGGTGATCCTCCGAGTGGTTGGACTCCACTGTACGGTTGAGGTCGTCCGGCAGACACATGGGCTGATCCAAGGAACCTGAACGGACCCATGAGATGAGGCAAGAGCATAAGAGCCCCTAGTAGCGTCCTTGCTCCTAGTAGAGAACAAGATGGTAGGTGCTTGGGAGACACCCGTAACTTACACACACTTGGACCGTAGACCATCTAAGACTAGAACCTCCCCTGCGGACATCGACCAACGCTGAAATCCGAGACATTCTTGTGAAGAGTCGGAGCAGTGTGCCCCCCTGTGACGAGAACTCAACCCCCTTGTGACGAGAAGAACTCTAGGACTCGACGTGCTGCTTTCAAAGGGCAACAACATGCTCCGACCGGACGGATCCTGATAGGACTTGATGCAAACATGAGGCCATCGCTATTAGGTTGGAGGCCATTGCTACTAGGAACAAGAAGCTACTAGTAGCAAGAAGCTACTAGGTGGAGGCCATCGCTGTTAGGTTGGAGGCCATTGCTATTAGCTTGGAGGCCAACGCTTGCCCGTGCGGCCGCTCCTTGCCTGTAGAATAGAATATAAAGGTAAAAACCAAGTATGCCACAGCAGGACCAGCGACCTGAGGGCAACACAGGAGTAGTACAACCGCGAAAAGGGGTCAAAAAGAGCAACATAGAACAACATTGAAGTTGCAAAAAAAAACAATCCTACAACCGCATCTTCAATTGCTGGCCAAAGCACTCCGCCAAACCTCAGTTGCAGCTTTGACATATCATGTGAGAGTGATGGCCTCGTGCATGTACACACGGACAGTTCTTGCGGTAGAAAAGACTGAAGGTGGGACTCCAAATGATATTCTGTAAATTGCTGCAAGCAAAAGCACGTGCTTGATCAACAGCCGTGGTGTGTCGCGCCTGTCGGACAAATTTTCGTACGGTATTTGCCGGTACTTTTGCCGGTACAGTAGTTTTTAAATGTGTTTCATCTCTCTGTGATGTAAACAATGCTGTTTCTTGGACTTTCTTGCTTTACCGTTCTTCACGGGGCCATTTCACGGGTTGAGGTTGAGCGCTCTAATCTGGTATTGCAGTAACTAATCCTAAAGTGCTAGTGCTCCCCGTGAATCTCTGAAACACAGCTCCGCGGAGCACTTTTCTCAAGTGTGTGTTTGAATTGTGTTTACATGTTCATGTGCACTTGCAAACGCAGTTGATGCTACACGGCAACAGTGACGCGAGACGCCACGCCATCTATCAAGCCTGGCTAGTTTCCCAGGCTAAATCATGTCGGAAATAAAGAAAACATTATCTTGGTGGATTGAGAGGGAAATGTATTGGACATAATAACATATTACGACAAACCCTGCTAAGCAAAAGCGGCAACCCCTCTTGAATGTAAGCTGGTCAAACAGGACCACGATACTTGGCTCAACTGACCATAAACCAGTTGCGAATTGTCCGCAACTGCCCTCTCCACTCTTGTACGCAAACACTGGTTCCAGGCATGCATGCCCTTGCACACCTTCACAACCGAAATCAGAGTTAAGCTCTTGTCCAATTCTACGTGTTCCATTTTCTTGCAGCCCCATGCAGCAACCCGTATTCGAAGACACGTCACCTGGCCTCCACGTATTTCGTCCGTATTTCCTCGCCAAGTCACGTGGCCAACAAGGGATTGGCTGCCCGGCTGATGGGCGACAAGGAGCCGCCCGGAAGGAGAGCCTCTGTCACCTGCGGTCACGTCACCCTTCTCAGCGGTATGCAGTGGAGGGAAAGGACCGAAGTCGAGGTCTGAATCAGAGGTCACATGAGATCAGATCAGTTGACCACATGAGATCAGAAGAGATTATCACACGAGATCATAATGAGTCTGCTTAGATAGTTGGCTCTTGTTGGCTCCTGAGGTGAGTGATACAGATTGGCGTTTTGAGATCTTGGCGCATGGTCACCGAGACGGAATAGCTAGGCCCTTCTTCCCAGTAAGCTTTAACACACAAAGTAGGAGTGCTTCCATCCAAGTTTGGTGTTGCAAGCTCAGTGTACAAGGAGGAACCGGTTTTATTCAACCAAGAGTCAAAACGTGTGAGACCGATTTGGGATGATTTGGGTAAAAACTGGTTGGACATCAGCAAAACTTGCTGATTATCAAAAACCCAAACCTAGCCGGATGGAAGAAATCAGCTTGTTTTGCTGCAACTAAAGACTGACTTCCAGACCGTATTTACAGAGATGAAAGGTAGCTGGTACCTGGTAATTAACAGTGAACCTGAACGAGAAAAACTACAAGAAGTATGACGATTGACCATGGAATGCATTCTCCAAGGTCATGTAGGACACTCAAGTGTGACTCTTGTGGCTGTATAGGAAATCCAGTTTTTGCGTTTCTGACATGATACGGAAAGCATCTAAAAAGCCCATCGGAGAAGAATCAGCAAATCAGCAAATCCTGAGATTCTCCCACCGCTTTGCTGCCTCCTTAATAGCCAGCCCGAAGAAAAAGCACCTTAGTTGAAAAAGGTGTGCATTGTATTTTGCTATCACTGCTGAGCAGCACTTTGAAATCTTAAAATTTACAAGTGCTTGCACCCAAGGCACATGAAAAAATCGTTGATGACAAAGTGCAAATCAACAGCGTGCCCCCCGAGCTTGAAGTCTGCGATCAAGTCAATCAAGTGACTATAATGAGCACCAAGAGCTTTGATTTGTGCGTTTCAAGTGAATCCAAGCGTCGGTGGCATTTCATCAAATGTTATATAATCACGTGTTGACCAGTCACAGAATCTCACAGTCACCAAACTCTTGCAGGACGTGCCTGCAATGGGCGTCCAATGAGCCATCTGCAGGTAGCTCTCTTCATCTAGGTTGCTCCACACCATCGCCAAGCACACCTCAAGGCGTAAGAAAACATTGCGGCAGCAAGCTGGGCGGCCGTGCAATGGGCTTTGCGGCCCAACAGGGTGAACCCACAAGAACCTCGAAGCTGACCGTTCGATTTACGGTCAAAACTGTGTATGTCACAATGTGTCAAAGCTGTCAACAAGCTGTTGGTCACCAACTTGTTGCCTGTGGAGAGTCTGTGGTGTAGACAGTTACAGTAATGTCAATTTGTTCATCTGCTTTGGATTTCCTTGCTTATAACGTTTCGTGTCTTGTGTCCTTAGTTCTTATCTTGAGTATGATTCGTGGAAGCAACCTCACAAAACAGCAGCCCTGCACTTCTTTGCCACTGAGAAACGGTAAGTAAGACAAGTCACGATGTTTTAAGATCACACTTGGTTTCCAACACCCAAGTACTATCATCCATCATAAATTATACCTAAATGATCCGATCGATGTGTTTCAACAAGGAGAATGCCCTGGTAACGGGCCTGGTATGTTTTGTGTGTGTTTCTCTTACGGATCAGATTCTAGGGAGATCATTGTCATAACATCGATGTATTGCGCCAGCTCAGCACCTGGAGGGTCCCCTTTCGCCAAACATGTCAATCTTGCACCGTTCGGTTTGTGCAGGTGGCCTAGCATTAACACAGCCCGTCTCATTACCTGCAGAATATTGGCTATGATCTATAGATGTTCGGTTCGGAGGTGCCTCACCAAATCGGACTTGACAGGTCCGCCGAGCAAAACACAGGGGCAACAGTCTCCAGAGGCCCATGGGAGCTGCAGCCCACACAATCCCTTGGTTGGCTGCTGACTGATCACCTGCGACTGCCAGCTTGCTCCCACTTCAAACCCTAGTCAAACATATTCAAAAATAGAAAAAATGTTATATATCTATAAATACGCTATAACATATAACATATGTTACAGCTGTTTGGCGAGCCTCACAACCAAAAAAAATGTTCCTTCGATCACGCTATGACCTGCTCTTGCCACGGTGCGCGAACTCTTGGGTGTCTGAAATGGACGAGTGGGCGGCTGGGGGCATATGAATGAGTGAACCTCATCAACCTCTTTTCCAGGATACGAATAGTGATTCAGGTTTGACATTTATGACATAATTCAGGTGTGAAATGTGAATCAGGATGGTTGGTTGGTTTGTTGGTTGGTTGCTTGCTTGCTTGTTTGTGTGTTTCTCTGCCCACATGCCAAAGCGACATCTAGATCCATCATGATTCATCAGAGATCATTAGTCGTGCAGAATTCCGCAGATCGATTTGCCAGAGATGTTCATCGCCGAGGAGCGCCAAAGACCAGGGGTATCGAATACTTTTGCAGAATTCCGATGATGTAGTCTCTTCCCGCTCGGAGTCGGCCTGACGGGCGAACGCCTGCGAACGCCCCGAGCCGGGCTTCAAACCGGCGCGCGGATCGACGGATCGACATGCGAAGATCGATCCAGCGAACGCCAACGAGTTGATGAAGGCAAGCAGCCAATCCGCTTGGGCTTTGGCAAACCTCGGTGAAGGACGTGGCTGTTCTCAGCAGCAGTATGCAGCAGCTACAGAGTATATACTTTTTTTGCGCGTGGCCGGTGGCCGGTCCGAGTCCGGTGGCCGGGCCGGTGGTCGGCGTCCGGTGTGTGGAGTCCGGTGGCCAGGCCGGTGGGGCCGGTGGCCGGAACACCAAAATTGTATATTATGGAGTACTTTTTTATGAGCAGCTAGGGGGTATCTGATGCTTGCACTTATTGACCACTTACGAGCAAGAAAGTCCATGGACATGCAGCGCAGGCATACACCACATTTGCCAGTTGCTGCGTGTCTTGTACATGATACATGCACCCGTCTAAACGTCCTTGAAAATGTAACTGACTCGAACAACCGGGATCTTTTAGGTCTGGAACACTGTCCCATTCCACAACAAGAATGAACACATGTATAACATTTCACAACAGCACATAAGACCCCGTTCAAAGGTGTGCTGCAGGTTTCGATTTGCCACCTTGCATTTCTTGAGCTTGTCTTGTCACCGGACCCCTTGAACCTGTGTTCCGCTCTCCCGACTCCCTGCTCACAAAAGAAAACCTGAGACTTCACCGCAATGGAACATGCTGGACATCTTCTTCTTCTTCTGCAATGATCCCAGAAGCATTTGATCATGCCACTGGTTTGCTGCATTGGGGACAAAGGTCTACGGTTCTCAGAAATGCAAACACATCCTCATCAAGCATGTCCTCTCTATAAAATCAATCCCTGACGTGAGTGGGGATGATGTCTTTTATCGTCCTATATATTATAAACAATTTGATTATTATATTAATATATAGTTATACAATTAATGTTATACATGTTATATGTTATATAATATGCAGTAACTCCCTCCAATTTATATGGAAAACCGCCATGGGGCCCATGGGGATATTGAAGGGATTCATTGAGTTCATCCACCTTCAGGCCGAATATGACCAGTCCCAGGCCGAGTCCAAAGTTCGGTTTGGTCTGCAGGAGTTCGGTTTGGTTTCAGGTAGGCCATGCACCAAACTTGACGAATAAAAGCTAGATCCAGGGCGCCGTTCTCATCCTCGGAGTCAGAGTCAGAGTCTCCAGCGAACATGGTCGCAATCAGAATTCCTGCCTGGGCGGGACCGAAGAACGAGTCCACAGACCTGGCTTCGTCCTGGGACGAAGGAATCGCTACTAGTAGCAAGGACACTATTTGATGCTATTAGGCGGAGGCAAGGTTGGAGGCCATCGCTACTAGTAACAAGAAGCTACAATATAACATTACAACATGGGTGTTTTTTGGATAGTAATGATACGTATGTTCCATCGGCGAGACCCCTAGACTGGCCATCCCGAACCGACTCAAGCGGACTGGGTATAGACTGATCGATGTACCGAACCGGTCACCGGTTTGGGGGGAGAACGAACGCTGTGTTCGGCGACCAGCTATCGGTGTTCAGCGAGCTTCGCTTCGCTTCGGGGTGTAGGCCAGGACACTCGATGGCTTGTTTTGGCAATCTTCTCCTGAGGAAAGAAAAAAAGGATCAACGGCGGATGAGGATGAGGATGCTTTACCATTGACAACTCACCGAAGCAGGACATGTGTGGTATGATTCACGACATCGTGACATCCATCCTTTTTGGAAGTGCAAACATATTGCAAATGAACGATGTCCAATTGCAGTTCAAATCGCTCCACGGTGATGCTGTTCCTTCAACCCTTTGTGTCCCGCCGCCGCACCTTGCTCGTGACCCGCGCCGCTGCACCGCCCAGCGAGTGCAACGCCAACTCCTTCGGTCGCTTCGCTTCGGTTCTTCGTTCGAAAAGAAGGCCGTCCCAGGTTTGAAAAGGGGTGGGGATTTGGATGGATTTTTGTAAGGGACAGAAAGCTTGTAATTATTGAGATTCTGATGCGACCTCCAAAAGCTAAGAGATCCTAAGGCACCAAGAAGCCAATGTAGCAAGGGATGGGAAAGGGCCGGAGAATGTCTTCCTGTCTTGGTGAAAGGGGAGCGGGCCTAAGAAATCTAGCTGTTCAAAGTGAATTCCAAGTACCTTCAGGAAGAACCCTTCAAGTCATGCCCTCTCTCTAAAGCAGCAAAGAAACTTCCAAGAGATGTGTGGTCAACTGAGTCAACTGCAATCTTATAGAAAGGTCTGGGCTTGCTAGCTATGAAAAGTCACAGGCTTGTGATGGCTGAGCTGGCTCTCAATTCTCTTCTTTATTTGCATAGTCTTGTCAAAAAAGAGTCCTCCTGTCGCCCGTGAGTCATCTACGGCTCAGTGTTGCTGTTCGTGCGCGCCCTTCGTCAGGTGAGTCAGTCCTTTTTGTCAAACGCTGTCTTCAGCTTCGAAGGCTTCTTCTGCAGTGTTCGCCTTTCAGGAGTCTCATCCTGGCGCTCGAGATGAAACAGCTATTAGATCTGGAACAACTCAGCCTCACTGCCGTTTCTCACTGATTAAAGCACGACATGGAACGACGATGTCCGAACGAATCCACTGATGTGCAACCATGGTGTTGTGCAACCAATGCGTATGGCACTCGGTGCTGATGCGTTAGTGTAGCGGTCTTCGTTCCTCTTTACTGAGACCATTGAGGAAAATATAATAATATAATACCTGCATGATTTCGATATATCTATGACACACATGCAGGCTCACGGATGACCAGGTAGTGCTTGACATTGGCGCGTCCAATTGAAATGATGACAGAAACTATGCACCTCACGTTGTGTGTAGGCATGATGAGGTGCATTTGGCGCTTTTTGATGCCTTTCCGGCCGATGCGGCCGATGCCCACGAAAACAAGAGGCCAATGGATCTTGCAAAGTTCAATGCTAACTACAGGCTGTCGAGCTTGGTCACGCGACTTGGAGAATGAATGAGATGCCTGTTCGTTGCAAAAGCCCTGTCGAAGAAATTCTCTTGTTCGCCAAAATGGCCATACTGCCCTTTTAGTTTTTCTGGTGGCCTTGCACTGACACACGGTGCTTGAGATTTGGGGCAAAGTGCAACAGAGGAAGGAAGAGAAGGCAACCAGAATGCAGATGTGGTTTTGCAGAAAGGGCTCCTCTCTTTATGCAAAGCATCAAGACGTCAAGAGATAGCAAAGTCAATCGAGAGTACAGCGTCGGATGCTTTGTTGTTGTTGTTGCTGCTATTTATACTATAGTCATAGATGGTGTTGAATGCATGGCAACTTTTTTGATGACGTGGGTCAGTGTGTGTGTGTGAGGAGAACTCGTTGTGCCATTCAGCGGATTCGCCGGATTTGGAAGTCTCGGCAGTATGCATGCGAGGTGCAGAGTGTTCAGATGTGTCGTGCGCGACAAGAACACAGACCTGGAAACCCAGTCTCAACCAGAAACAAACGGATGTGTACCCAGACCTAGCCACTTTCGAATGATTCTACAAAGGCTTCACTCACTGATGTGAAGAGCTGGATGCTCCCAACCTTCGCTTCCACTGAAACGAGGGAGCCTTCTGAGACATGAACACCGTCCTGCATTCGCCGAGGGCCCGATCGGCCCGATCTCGGTTCATGGATGGAAAGTGTTCTGGTACAAGTAGGCTATCCAGATAGCTGTTGGTACAGCAGTGCAAGTGGCGATTAGCCTTTCAAGGACTAACTGAGAACCAAATTCTGTGGACTGCCAGACATCCGTGTTTGCCACAGAACAAAAAACAAGTACCCTCCATGCGAAGTACTGTGTGTCAAGAAGGAGGGGCCTTTCTCTATAAGATGTTTGATGTTATGCCACTGGATCACCAAATAACTTTTCCGACCTCAACATGAATCAAAGACTCTATCCTTACCGACACCCTCCGTGATGGAGATAGTTCTTCCACAAACTGCCACATGCAGAACACGCAGCAACACAAAAGTGCAAGCAAATATCTTGAAACATTCGTACACATCAATCTCACTACCAACCACAATATACTGTATAAAAGGCAATAGTCAGCCAGTTGATGCCATTTGCCATCTTAGCAGGTTGCAATGTCCTGGGCAGCTACTGCCTGGACACTGGTGCCTCCTTTCCTCAGGTACGGTCAAACATATACGACATATGGTATGTGATATGTGTATATTAATGTGATATCACTACCTGCAAAATCAGGAAAAAACAAATATTGACGTTTCGTTTGGTGTTGCTCGTCAAGCGTAAAGCATCCCGCCTAATTTTCGCGGAAAAGACCGTCGACGCCAAAAAAAGGGGTGAAACTAGATGTTTCAAAGCAATTTAACAGCTTGACCAAACCATGAACGGCACCGGGTGTCCAAATAAAGTAACTTGAGGGGTTCTTCGGATGACCTGTTGGGTTGCAGTACTAGAAGGTAGTCATTGCGTCTTGAGACGTAAGGGGCAAGCGCGTTGATTCGGCCCATCTGTTTTACGACAAGTTGCTTTGAGGCCTCAGCTATTGCTCAAGCAGAATAGATAGAGGTTCGATGTCAAGACATCGAGGAGTTTGACAGCACTTGAAACATGCAAATAGGAAGGCAAGTCAAAATTGAAGGAAGGCTCTGAAAACACAGCTTCTTCCAAGTTGAGTCCTAAGTTGTGTTGTATGCTGTTGTTTGTTTCGCTCTGTTTCGTGCAGCCTTTGCGTTTCGTCCACTCCGACGGCCGACCTCTCCAGGGACTTCCATCCTTCAGCGGACCGCGCGGCCCAAAGGAGATGTGGAAAAAATGCCTGTGTTTTCTTGAAGCCCTCGCTAGTAGGTTGGAGGTCATCGCTTCTAGGTTGGAGGCCGCTCTTAGGTTGAAGCCCTGTGATTAAAGCCCTTTGTGTCCCATGATGTCCCCCATGTCTAGAGAGTCTGTTTGGCCACATGTTTGCATATTTTCCGCTGGTGCTGTGTGCTTCTGTGTCAAGGATCTCATAAACGATCATAAACGAAGCCATTTCTTGAGGGCTTAAACAGAAAAACACTTTAAGGACCAAAGCTTTGACTGCATGTTCTAGGTACTACTCTGATGCCCATGCTTTGCCACGAACGCCACCGCTTGAGCAAGGTTGAGCGGATGTCAGTCACAAGTCATTAGGCATTGTGGTTTCCTCACACCTGAATATATTCTTTTCCGATGGTCACATGAATGGGCCTTCAAAACTGTTTGTCCAATGTTTTCTCCATAATGCAACCTTGTGGAATTCTGTGTGTTGGAACACGGAAAAACCTCTGATTGAGAGGCCAGTTTGGTCATGAAGGACTTGCAAACATTGGTTGCGTGATGACGACCCCATGTCACATGCAGTTCAAGAGCCTGACACGACATCCAGTAGAGCGCCTGGGGGCAATGCAGCCTTCATTGTCCTTGCAGTGAAAAGCCAAAAATGCTTGTGAACAGCTCAAGTCCAACCAGCACAGGGACGTGACCATGACAGAACCAAAGCACTAGTCACTGGATGCGGCCACTCGTAGCAATCAAGTGCACCTCGTGCGCCACCGAACTGACTTACAAAGCGTTCATGATTGTTTCTTCTATTCGGGTTCTAGTACTTGCAAAATCCCAAGTTCCTACCTGAGCGGCCCAATCTATGAGCTCTTCGACTTGTAGAACCGCTCTGTTTTGAAAGTGGACGGGTGTATTTTCAATGCTTTGAGGTGTCTCCTCATCAAACAAAAACAATAATAGCGGTGATAAACACCATCATTGTTGCCCGTGGAACCCTCCAATCGTGATGTGAAAGCATGCGGCTGCATGCTGCCCAGGGAAAAAGGACGGGGTGTCTTCTACCGTCGCCGAAGGCCAACTTCTACCGTCGCTGTCACTTGCCGTGTTTCCGCCATGTTTCCGGTGTTTCGTCGCACGAGGATCGGGGGCCGGGTCGGGCGCATGGGCGACGCGGCACGTTGGGGGACGCGTCTAGCAAGCAGGTCCGCAGGTCCGGGGAAGTGGAGCTGGTGACGAAACGAACGGGCCAGGGTACATGATGGACATGAGGTAGAGAAAGGTGATGGAAAGGAAAAAGCCTGCGCGGGCTCTACAGCCCAGAGAAGTCTCCATTGCTTCTGAAAGTATTGATGTCTTTGACGGCTCTGCACCCCAAACAGAACTTCGGAGCTCATGGGGGCGGCATACCTCTGCACTCGATCTCTTTCACCGCCAACCGGATCTGTTTAATGCAAATTTAAAACATAGAGAATTAGCTCCTTGATCGACGCAGTCTTCGACGGCTCAATCGAAAACTAAACAGTGGCAATCACGATTGCAACTTGCCCTGTACATGAATCCTGATGTAAATCATGGTTGCCACCCCTATACACGGTGTAAATATGTGTAAATCATCTTGATTCCGTTGATTCCCTGGTTCAGTGATACCTCATCCCCTGCCTCTTCTCTGGTTACCTCATCCCTCTAGTTAGTTTACTTCGTACGTCCAAGGCGAAAAGGTGCGATTGGTCCCTGGGGGGTCGCAGCCTGCTTCGTTTCGCAGCCATGCGTCATGCGACATCCGAAAACGGCCAGTCAAGCATGCGATTCGCATGCCTCAAAACTCTCATGTACACTTCCTGCCTCAGTCTCAAAAAATGTCATCGCTCCCTTTGACCTACAGAACCCACTGCTTTCTACACAAGCAAAAACAAAATAATCTTTAACTCGTATTAGTGGGCGTCCCCTCCTCGCCATGTTTTTTGGTTTTCGGGAGGGGCCCGCAAATATGGTCCTCTGGAGGATTAGTAGTAGTAGTAGTAGTAGTACGTAGTAGGTAGTAGGTAGTAGGTAGTTAGTAGTTAGTAGTTAGTAGTTAGTAGTAGTAGTAGTAGTAGTAGTAGTAGTAGTAGTAAGTAGTAGTAGTAGTAGTAGTAGTAGTAGTAGTAGTAGTAGTAGTAG